AGAATCTATGTATGAGGTATATAATAGCCACTATTTGTGCACTGAACCATGGAGATCCATTGTTAACCGATGGTGCCTGGTTCAATTACTCTCCAGCAGAAGCGGGCATAAAAATTGGTCAGAGGGCAAGGGCCGTACCAAAATTTTGATAGTTCTAGTGTGCTTCCAGAAGCCTTCATACACTGCTTTTATATCGCAATATTCTTAAATATTACTTTCTACAGATAATGGGTGTCAGGCCATAAAAAGATAAGGTGTTTTCTAGCCAAAGATGGTTGGCGGGCCATAAACATATAGGGTTTTTAATTTGTTTTCACAGGCCGCAAAAAAAACACTGTCGGCCACACTTGCCCACATGTGCTCTACTGCTTCCCTTGTGTTCCAGCTGGAGGGCTGAAATGCAAGTATAAAAAAGTGCACTTTCAGAAGAGATGCAAGCTATCGATCCTTAGGCCTAAGAAAATTGTTTGTTTGCCCTCCTCACCCGCCCCTAACTTTACTGAAAAAAATATGGGCAGCAAAACAAAAAAAAAACTTTTAAAAATTGTTTATAGCATGAATTGTATTTTTAAGTTCCTCTTTCTTTGCTGAAGTTGAAATCTGCTTGAGCATTTTGGAATTTTGTTGGTTTTGCGTGTTGCCAATGTAGTACTGACGTTAGCACAAGTTTCTGAAGGTCTTTCTCATTGTGGCTGTAAAAGTATTATCATCTGTATCAGATTGTTCTTAATAATAATATTGTTCCTAATACCTTCCAAACAAAAAAGAAATCCACAGCGACAATTTTCACTTTGTTCTTTTTCCTTGCTCTTATATAAGACATTTTGTTACTGTGACTGATTAGGCCTAAGAAAATTGTTTGTTTGCCCTCCTCACCCACCCCTAACTTTACTGAAAAAAATATGGGCAGCAAAACAAAAAAAAAACTTTTAAAAAGTGGGGGGTATTTTAGCCTTTTTTTTACAAAATAAAATATTGCCATTCCAGACCTACATTCATTGTAAAATGTCAACTGTGGGTTATTTTTATTCCATCTGATAAGTAATCTTGGGGGGGAAAAAAAACATTTTACACCCACCCTTTTTATCATTTAAAAAAAAAGAAGGGCAAAAAAATAGTTAATTCTTTTTTAAGGCCTTATACCTACTGTAGTATTCTACATACTGGTATTCCATAATTCCAGGTGATTTTGGCAGTGTGATGAACATTGAAGACCTTTGTGAATTTTGTGGTATGTTTCCTGTTCTATATATTTTTATTTTTATTCCATAGCTTTTCCCAAGTCTTCTGAGGCTTCTAGTATTTCTGTTTTCAATCAATCTATCTGAAGCATTTCTCCTTTTTTTATTTCTCTCATTCTATATTCAAATTCTGATTCTAATTTTTATGGTTCAGTATTTTAATTATTTATAGAAACCCTGTCTATATTTTCCTTTTTCACTTTTAATTACAGTATTCTGACCACAGGGGTGGTGCCAGCTAGGCTCGGGTGCAGCTTTTGGGGACACTTGGCCTAGTTGTCTAAGAGTTGCCGTAAAATATAACGGAAAAAATTCATTAACATAATTTTCTAAGCAAGACAATACTTGGACAACTAAAGGTGAAGTTAATTTTTTTTTATCTCAGCACCACAGCCAATATGGGGGTCGAGGTTGGTACTGCCCATCTATTGGGAATAATAGACCACTTGTGAGGGTTAATGCCACAGTTGTTTGGCCATGTTTTTAATTTCTCTTTTTTCATTAAAACTCAACTTTTATTGAGCTGCATATGTATTTAATTATTCTTGCATAATTTCCAATCTTTCGCATTTTTCATTTCCTTTTTGTCATTCCATCTTATATTCTTCAATTTTATTTTTTCAATATTCACAATTTATTGAGTCATCCATTTTTCCTGTTTTTCTGTTGTTCTGTTCTGTTATTACATGTGCATTTTTACAGTTTTTAAGGTAACCTGTTAAGATAATAAATTAATAATGAATAAATAAATATTTAGATAATATTAAGATAATGTCAAAAATAAATAACTGATACAAGTAAAACTAATAAGAAAATAGATTGTCCTTTGGATGACAAAATGCTTATAGCCAAAGTTTATTAAAGGATGACATAACTCATCCATGATATAGCTAAAGCAATTCGGGTTTCCACCTTTGTACTACAAGCCACTGTTACAAAAAATTATCTCTATTCAATTCACCGGGATAACAATAACGTGACAAGAAATTAAATGTTAGAACTAAAGATCTATTGCGAAGTTCTGTGTACGGTAGCCTAATTATCTACAATGCTAAACCACTTATTACCTTCGATAAGGAGGTTATGTACTGTTCACCCCTGTCTGTTTTGCTGTGTATTGAACTATCTTTTAGTCTGTTGAATCATTTATTTACAATGATTCTGTACATACAATTTGCATTTTTTGCCAGTTTGGCGCAGTGGTTTGGTTTCCCAACCTCGAAGCCGGGGGGTTTCAATCCCTCGCTGCCCATTTCGCTTGTGTCCTTGAGCAAAGACACTTTATATGCGTTGCTTCTCTCCACCCAGGAGTATAAATGGGTAGCTGGTTGGGTTGCCTGCTCCTGCGCTGATTACCAGCAGCAACACTTAGCATGTGGACCCAATGACCAGGGAAGAGAACTGCGCTTTGTAACCGCAAGGAAGAGGCGCATAATAAATGCCTATACCAGAAAGGAACCAGTTGTACCTGTACTATATTGGAAGTATTTTGTGACAATAAATGTTGATTCTGAATCTCATTCACTATTACATTCTTTGTTTAACAAATCTTGAACAATATAGTATTCTTTAACATTAGATTTGCTTACTTTGTAATATTCATAATTATCCCCACCCCCCCCCAAAAAAAAAAAAAAAACAACAACAAATAAAAATTTCTCGCCAAGTAACAGACACATAATAAATGATGTGCTGTTATTCTTCTTGAGTTCGCTAGACGAGGTCAGAATATCAGGAAAAAACTAAGTTGATTTAATCTCGGTCTCATTATCAGTTGATCCTTCTAAATGAGCATCTTTTTTGAGGATTTATCCTGATTTTTTTTCTCCAACACTTATAATATGTCTACGTAATTACAGTAGGACTTAATAACATTCAGGAAAAGCTTCAAGGATACAGAAAGGCAAAATCTAGAAACACAACGATAGAGAATTTGGCTTTAGGCTGTAACCTTTAATGTACAGTATAAGATTGAAGATTCATCAACGACTTGTGCCTGCTTCAATTTAAAGGTCATGAAGCATCAGCGTTCCCAAGACTGAATTGACCTTCCTTTTAATTTTATCAAATATTTGAATGTGGTATCACATCCAGCATTTTAATTGTTCATACAGACGTTCCAACATTTCCCCCTAAAGTTTATTTGGATATGTTAACGCTAAAAATCAACGATACAATATGAATTGGCAAAAAAAAATATATTTGGATTAGATTTGTTAACTTCAATTATTAATGTTTTTTTCAATTTTTTTTTTCATTTCGAGACATGTTTAATTTTGGAAGGCACTCTAAAACAAACCGATAACGATTACCATCATTTATCAATAATTTGTCTCTTTGTAATTTCTACTTGATAGATTTGTCTGTGATTCTTTATCCATTGGCTGTATGAATGAATCATGAATGAATAATTTAATAAATGTATAAAGATCCTACACTAAGCTGAATGTGCCCTGCTGTATTTACCCTAACTAAACCGATGTACATGAAGTCAGTGCCGTAGCCAGGATTTTCAAAAAGTGCAGGACAATATCGGGGTGGACCCACTTTACGTGAAAATTCAAAACATGTTGACCCATTTTCTTAAAAGTTGACCCATTTTGCACAAAAAATATGAAAAATCTGGAACCATTTTCTTAACCATTTACTAATGTTATACAAAATATGAGAAATCCGGACCCTTTATTCAAAAAGCGGACTCATTTTTTGCATAAAACTGCATAATTTAGACCCTTTTTTTTTAATGAGGACCCATTCTTTGTGGACCGAAATAGAAAATTGTATATGATGACTGTCCCAATAGCTGGCTACAGCATTGCATGAAGTTAAGAATCAATTGTGCATATATAGTCCCCTACAGTATATTTAGTACACAGCTTAAGACATCTAGTTTTGATAACAGTATGTGTACATGTACAGTAATATTAAAGTATTAATTAATATATTGTACTTTCTTCAGCTTAATCTTTCAGCAAGCTCCTTTTTAATTTGCAAACAGTTGTGGAAGTACTTCGTAAATGGTGCATAATAATTTGTTGATTTTTACGAAACGGCTGGATATGAAATATTGATATCGTGTAGATTACAGTGATTATTTGTGTTGCGAGTCATTTGTGGAGTCGCGACTGATTTTGCTGATTGCGTTCTGAAGGTCATAATGGTTTATAAATATTACATGTTTGCGTTTGCTTAGAGTGGCAGTATAGTGTGTGTGTGTGTGCGCGTGTACATGTATTGTACGCGAGACATATACACATGCATTTCATTCATTCATTTTAATTTTAAAAATATTAATTTCTTTGGACAACTTTAGCATGTTGCTTCACATATAGGAATATATTTTAAAAAACACTATATTCAAAAATTGGGTTGATGTTTCCTTAATATACTTTTTAAAGAGATTACCAGTATATATAATTACATTATAATAAACTGTACAAATTCAAGTCAATAATGGGCCCACAAAATCATGGTCACATGAGCAATTGGGATGTATCTAATTGCATGTAAAGTCCTGTCTAAATTATCAAATTTTGTTTCACAAAAACATGTGACAATATGCCTAAATATGGTCATGATGACATCACAACATGACCATATATAGGCACATCATGACTATATATGGGTAAAACAACAGTTTTTTTGTCAAATAAAATTTGATAGTCTGGACAGTGCTTCAGTTACCTATAGCTTTGTAACATAATCGTTTCAATTCAGATTTATATCGTTTTGTGGATTATTATTTTTTCGTTATTTCAGGTGGTTTTGCCAAAGTCAAATTAGCAACTCATATTTTAACCGGTGAGAAGGTAGCCATAAAGATTATGGATAAACGCCAACTTGGGGTGAGTAAGAGCATTAATTCCATCACCATATGTTAACCACTCATCGGTTTATTTATATTATAAAATGATGTCATTAAGTCGACTATTCCAATATCTTGATTGTATACACAGTAAATTTGATTTGTGGGGGTGGGGTGAGTTTTGATGGAGTAATGCTGTTTGCTGAATACTTCATGAAATGGTTTTCAAGCATATTTTTTAATCAAGTACAAGATCAATACTATCATACTATGTCGAAGAATTGTTTATGAACTTAAACATATTTATCAACATTGAATTATAATCACTCATCATATACTTCAGTGGCAATCAAAAAGAGTAAAACAAAGGAAAGGTTAAGTACCAGGTATACTATGTAACAAATAATGGAAATACACTGAATAGTGATTTTTACATTTAAAAAAAGTCAGTGGCTATTATAACACCATTCTGAAATAAATTTCTAATTCTGATTGCATGCTATTGACTTACCATAATCCAATCCTTAGAAACAATAACATCCATCAAAAATTAGGAATTTCATTGTAAGTAACAATAGCCACTGCCAAAAAATAAATCAAAAGTTTAAATTTTAAGAGTAATGAAAAACCAAACAAATAGAAAGCACAAAATGTAATTGAGAAAAACAGTAAATATATATATATTTGTTTGTGTCAAGAATTGTTCATGTACAATTTAAGATGTTCTGTTTTAACTCAATAATTTCTTCTGTTTAGGATGATCTTCCTCGAGTGAAAACAGAAATAAAGGCTTTACAAGAACTTGTCCACCAACATATATGTACCCTCTATGAGGTTGTTGAGACGGAGAAGAAAATTTTCATGGTAATGGAGGTAAGCAGCACAAGTATAGCTTAGAATATCATCTTCCTGTTCTCGTATCTACTGTGTAACCCTTGGCATTTAACAAAAACAACTGTTGTACAGTGTTAGTACATGGAGTCGCCCACCCCCTGACGTGATGTTGAGTGTCCTATTTGCCTGTCAGCAGATAAAACCGTTCTTGATACAGAACTCATGGTGACGTACGTCTTTATATATCCAGCCAGGCGTTTATCTGTATATTCACCTGGTTACAACGAAAGCACCCACTAATGTTGATTAGGTGCATTAACTGTATTATGTTCGTAAACATCGTATCCTTGTGTGCAACCTGACCTCTGGTGAATCTAGGCCTACCATGGCTAGTTTATCGACGTTTGCCTCCTACCCTTAAGGCCCCTCCTAATACATAGATTGTAACTAAGTGAGTCCGCACAAGATTTAAGCCATCTCTTGTTACTATATAGCACTTGATTTGATAACCGTGATTAAGCACTTAAGTGCTATGCAAAATAAGTTTACTCAGATGAATGAATGTTGTTATTTATTCAGTATTTGTTCAGGAAACCATATCATACTGCATTCATTAGATAAGATTCAGGAAGACATACAATATTGCATTCATTAATTAATATATAATTGCCTATATTGTATGATATCTAAGTATATATGAGTAAATATACTAAATCCTTATATTGTAGTAAACATTACTTAATACCAGTATGTAATATTTTTTAAGATCAGTCTCTTAAAAAATGCTCTTAAACAATAGTAATTTTTAAATTAATTGAATTAATTTACTAAATTTAATAAATTAAATTCATTAAGTAAATGAACACAAATTTTCACATAGAATTTGATAGTGTGGGCAGAGCTTTAATAGAAGTAGTTAGTAATACCAGAGTCTGATCAAACAATATATTTTATGTCCAACAGACAAAAATTTAATACAGTAATGTATGCAGTAATGTATGCCTAGCTTAAGAGTATTTCATCTCTTAGAAGTGAAACCCTAGAGGTCCTACTAATATTTACCGTGGCTTTCAATCTAATTTGCTTTTGATAACAAGGATCTTGGATCAGGGGTGGTTTTTAGCAGCTGCAGCAGCTTAATGAATTATGCACCTGAGACTTAAACTTAGCTGCCCCCAATGTATTGTACTATTAATACATTTGGTCGAACAAATAAAATTAAAATTTGAAATTTTAATTCATTGATATGAAATATTAAAAATTCTTGGTAAATTCAGATAAGCTTAGCTGCCAAGAGTGTATTGTACTATTGATACATTTTAGTCGAATGAATAAAATAAAATTTTAAATTATGAATTCATTGATATGAAAGTGGTAAATACAAACTGTCTTTGGTACACTACAAGATGAGAGAATCCATAAAAAATGCATTGAAGTGGTCATTTAAAATGATCCTGCTAATTCAAGGCTTATGCAATAAATAAAAGAACAGTATTTTAAAATTGGTGATAAAACATATTTTTTCTTTCAAACTAACTTTCAATTAAAAATCAGAAAACTAATTTCTATACTTAAATAATATAAGAAAATAAATAATTAAAATAGCAAAATATAAACTATTGAATTACTGTATTAGATGCGAACTCATAATATTACATGTTTTTAATACAATATTTTCAATTTTCTTTCTGAATTGGCATGTATGGCAAAATATAATTAGATGTCTGAATAAAGGTCATTTACCAGGGGTGAATACAAATACATGCCCTCTGCCCCTCTTATTCTGGATCTCCCTCTGTTTAGCCAAAGTGTTTAGAAGAGGCTTGCAGCCCTGTTACTGCAACTATCATGATTATCATCATTTTATATTTTCTTTGAATAATTCATATTTTTGTACGTATTTTTATATAGTATTGTCCTGGTGGTGAACTGTTTGATTACATAGTTGCCAAGGATCGTTTAAGGGAAGAAGAGGCCAGAGCTTTCTTCCGACAAATTGTATCAGCCGTGGCTTTCATTCACTTCAACGGGTATGCACATAGGGACTTGAAACCGGTAAATTAACTTATTATCATTCATTTATTATAATTTATGTACAGAATAAGTGCACATTTGTCTTTAAACATTATTACGGTCTTATTAGTTTTAATCAATTAAAATTCTTGTTCCTCCTCATTGTTAATTGTGCAGAAAAATATATTTTTTTTAAATAAAAATATTTATCATTATCAGCATCATTATTGTTGTCATTGTCATCGGCATCATAATCATTATTATGATCACTGTTATCATCATCATAATCATCAACGTTATCATCAGTTTCACTATCATCACAATCATTATCATCATCATTACCATTATCAGCACATTAATAAGCATCGGCATCAAAGTCATCATCATCACCATAGTCAGTATCACCGGAATGAGAATTCTATTAACATCAGATATTATAATCAACTTAACATAATCATTTTCATCTTTATCAACATTATTGTCATCAACAACATTATATTTTCACCAGCACAGTCATAGTTATTATGTAGTGTAATCTTAAAAACAATAATAACATAATATACACCAGAAAACAAGAACTGATGTTTTTAGAATACAGTCTCTTGTTGCGGTCAAGTTTTACTGTAACCTTTCATACAGCAAACAGCAATACAAAGACATCCCTTCCGCCCACAATGACGTATAAATACAAAATTCTTGTCACTTCAAAACTTCCTTATTATTACAAGATGAGGTGATATAAAATTTAATTTCTGTTTCTTGACACTATAAAATTATTGTATTTTCATTATATGATCTTTCAGTTTTACTAACTGGAAGTTCTAATCAATTTGAATATATTTTAGTGAATTTCGGTATTTTGCATATTGACTGATAGCCTAGTGTAGGTCATAATTTTTTTTATATGGGATTATAGTCTTTCCATTTATACAAAAATAGAATGCGATATCAATATTATCATTTCAATAACGCATCTTGAGATTATGCAGATGTGTTATACACTACTAAAATTTCTCATACATCTGCTTATCCTTGTAAGTTGTAGTTGTGTTATTCGATATTTGCTGCTTGATGCAAAAATGGATAAAATATTTTTTGTATTGAGACTGTCAAATAAATTAGCTACAGTATATTTGATGTTAGCCATGAATGGATTATTCTTATAAACTATTAAATTCATAATTAATATTAATTTTGCATGATAGATAATCACAAATTCAATTTTTTTTTTTGACATAATTACTGATAAAATGAAGACAATTAAGCATTAATGTTATTTTAAATAGACTGGAACCAATTCTTATATAGGCTATCAACTGGCATATCCTTTATTATAATATGTAGATTTTACGTATACTGATGGTTCTTGCATTCTGACTAGGAATACTCCCAATGGATTGAAGTTAAGGTTGCACATTTTCTGCTTCCATTGACCATGGGAAAGATGCTAATATTTATAGTTTTTGAAATAATATTTATTATAATTTGTATTATTAATATAATTATTTTAAAAGCAGCAGCTCTATTCTAAATTCAGTGAACAAACAATTAAATTTTTTTTAAGTATTGACTATTGCTAATATCAGTTTCAACAACATATTACATCATCAAAAAAACTTAATGTACTTGTACTATTATGGTATTTTCAATTCAATTTGCCACAAAACTCACATAAAAGGGTTTTTTTTATAAAAAAAAAAAAGATGCATTAATGTACTTTGTGATTGACTCAATTTACCCTTTTTTCAATGTGTCAGTAGACTTTCTTTTCCTTGATTTAGAAAAATGACAATCATTTTTGTTCTACCCCCCACATGCAGGAAAATTTATTATTGGATGAAGAACAGAGTCTGAAGCTAATTGACTTCGGTCTTGCTGCAAAACCCAAGGTAACACAGGTTTCTGACAGTATCAGTTCCTATAATAGATTCATTGCAACTGTGCATGATTTGGGAGACATTATGAGTTAGGCACACTTAAACAGACAAGGACACAAGGGGATAATAATTAATGGAAGATTTAGATAGACATATGCGCATATAAGATGCTTAATTTTCGCCGTGCTTATTAAATGAAATGGTATCACGAACCTCTGGTGAATTACACCAAGACGCCTTGTCACAATACAATATTAAAGCACATGGATCGACATGTGCACTCTATAAACAGCCGGGTAATTTATGAAACTGTGTACTGCAGTAGAATGAAATGGATTACACTTCTTATTAGGCTGAGGTAATAAATTTGAAAATTCAATGCAATATGAATTTCTAGATTTTTGGCTTTTAATTGAAAATGGGAACAAAAATATCCCTAATAAACAGGTACACAGACTGTACCACCCCTAATAACTGTGCTGTAATATTTAAATAACTATGTTCTGTAGTATCTTGAAATATTGTATAAAAGAAAAATGGTTGTTCGACTTACTATTATTTTATTTTTTTTCTTTTAGTGGCATCTCGTTTTAATTAATTGATTTCTAAGTTCATTTTTTAAAACTTTGTGCTTTCGCAGGGGGGCATGAGCCACCACTTAACAACATGCTGCGGAAGTCCCGCATACGCAGCACCCGAACTCATCTCCGGCAAGCAGTATTTGGGAGCTGAGGCCGATGTGTGGAGCATGGGAGTTCTTCTGTACGCCCTTCTCTGCGGCTTCTTACCCTTCGACGATGAGAATGTTGCACATCTGTACCGAAAAATTCAGAAAGGTGACTATGACGAACCAGAATGGCTGAGCGATGGTTGTAAAGAAATACTAAAGAGAATGCTCCAGGTAAGGCCCTGTCCAGGCTGGACATGCCTAAATATGGTCATCACATCACATCATGGCAATATATAGGCACATCATGACTATATATGGGCATACAACAGTTTTTTGTCAAAGAATATTTAATAATCTGGGCAGGGTTTAATGCTATCAAATTATTTTATTGACCCTCAAAAACAAGATGCAATTTTGTGATGTTAATCTTAATCTGCCATCTAGAAGTAATAATAATAACAAACTCTTATTTATTTTTTACGCAAGTTCTTCATGGAATATTGTAAGAGTTTGATGAACCAATCATTTTTATTGATCTTTTAAAATTAAAGTAAAATGAGATATTAGTAATTTTATTATTATTCAATTATTATGCCCTCAATATTCTCATAACTTTTATTATTATTTTTATTGCCTTTTTGTTATAGGTTGTATTAATATTTTTGATTATTTTTATATAAGTTATATTTAAAGTCCTATAGGTATAAAAGCTATTACCAGTTTTATATATATAGGCCTATATATATATATATATATATATATATATATATATATATATCTGACCCTGACAGATTCTCTAGCAACAGCTCATTTTAAATGTAAAGTTCTATGTTCATTTTTTTTATATATTTTATTGTTAAATGTTCTTAAAGTTATAGTAATGGTTTTTTGTTTTTTTCTCTCTGTTGTGTAAATTTTTTGGTATTTAACAAATACAATGATATACTTTATCTACATTTAAAAAATATTTGTGGTTTAAGTAAAAAGTGTTATTATAATATAGGGTAATTTGTTTAGTATGGAGGTACTTCGATTAAAGAGTGTAGTAAACTTTGATGTAAAATCAATCTTCATCAAAAAGAAATTGTGTCAAAAACCGTGCGTACCTGAACTTGATATATTATTTTGATATTTCGCAGGAATATGACACTGATTTTGATTGATTGTATTGGCTACAATTGAGGTTAGACCAAATGTCATGGATTTACAACAGTTCTCGTTGGTTGCAGTCTGCATTAACTTAACACCTGCTCTCATTTGCATATTATTTCAGGTGAATCCCAAACGGAGGATAAGCATTACGCAATTAATCGAGCATCCGTGGGTGACAAAGTCTTTTAAGACGCCAGTGGACTGGAAAACAAAGTGTAGCAAAGCGCAGATTAATGAGGATTGTGTTTTGGAAATGGCGCAATATTACGGCAAAACGAAGAAAGAAATGACTGCACAGGTCAAACAGGTATAGCTTCACCGATTCTAATTGTATGGACCTCAATTCTTTGGAGAAATATTTCACAATAATCTTATGAATTATATGTGTCCATTAAGTAATTACTTGGTTAATTCTTATAGGTGTTTGTACTTGCACCTCCATGGATAAACTAACATTATGATAATTTACTTGCAGCAAGAACACTCCTCAGAAAATAATGGAGCATTCATCTTTATTTCAATATCTTGTACTTATTTCTTTCTCAATATTTTAACGTCATATTCTATGTTCTTCTGCTTATGAATCTATTTATATTACATTGCTAAATAATGTTTGAAATGAGAAACAGAACAATATTTTTTTTTTATTTTGAACTAAAATATGAATTCATTACTTTGAAATAAAACATTTTGGCATGATTATACCCATTGATAATTTGATGTGATATATTTTTACTTTTTCAATTTTTTATATTGAACCTAGATTAGTAATTTCACCATCATACCATATATTTAATAGTTTTTTCTTTTTTACTCTCTGTTGATTTTTTGAGTTAATCAAAGAAAAATACATAAAGAGAACATCCATTTAAACAATCATTACCTGTATTGATCTAGAGCTTTCAAAACAAAATGCAATATTCCAAATACTTTTTTATTACACTAGCTTTTAATTGCAAAAAAAAAAAAAAGGATTTCTCTTGCCATTAACCGACACTTAAATAATATCTATCCCTTATTTTTCTAATATTTTGTAGTAGAATGTATGCAACTCTGGTTGGATTTTTGAGTGTTTTTTTTTTTTTCACTTTCATTTTTAACAATAGATAGTAATTATCAAAGAGGTCCGACTGCCGGGGTTTCTTTAAAAAACGGAATCCTATCTCGAAGAGAACTACAACAAACTAGAGGGCATCCTTCAAAAGAATGCTATTCAAATTCTAATAGTGCGCCCCCTACATTTTTTTCCGTTTCATTGTGTGAATGCGAAATCATGACAGTTGGACCTCTTACTAATCTATATTCTTTGGTATTATTTTTAATTTTAAAAAGATGATATTGTATGTGTTTTGAATAAATGATATAAATTCTTTTATCAACAGTGGCAATATGATGAGGTAACAGCTATTTATTTTATGCTGCTAAACAGAATGTATAAAGGCGAAACCATCAAAATACTGCCAATGACCCCTCCTTCAGAAAAGGTTAGTTTTTTGTGAATTTTTAAAATTTAAATATTCATTTTCATAATCATGGTCATCCTTGTCAATATCATTATCTTTATCTTTATAATTATTAATCCTTTCATTGTCATCTTCATCATCTTAATTTTCATCAGTGTAACCATCTACAGCCATAATCATCACAATCAGTATGGTATGACATCATTATGCCCAACTTAAAAATTATAATATTCTAAAAATAACTGCTAATCTTGCTGGTAAAATATTACAATTTTTAAATTATTATTTGAAAAATATTAACAATATTTCATTATTGTTTTTTATGATTTTTTTAAATTTGTTTATCCAACTCTCTATGAGATATTTTATGTTTGGTTTTTATGAAGTGTAGGTAACAGAACCTCTTACTTGTGTGCTATAAATGTTATAGAATGTTTCCCTTATTATCATATTAATTATAATCTATTGTCCTCATACATTATTATTGAAAATTGAAGAAAAAAAATGAAATTATATTAATTTGGATATTTTGCTTTGTTATTCAGAAATCGCAAATCCATAGCAACGGAAGTCATAATATTCATAGCAACCACAAGAAATCAAATCTTGAGCCTCCCACTAGTAGTCCCTACATGTTCAGCTCGATGGAGGATGGACTAGAAGATGTTGAGTCATTTCAGTTCCATTCAAACACACACCGTAAAGTCGAAAGAACAAACCGAAAGTATGAACCACTTCAGAGTACATACATACATCCGGCAGCGGACAAGCGGTATAGTGCACCGCCAGTTGACAAAGAGAACTTTGATGATTTTTTGAAACCTTATCCGGTGAAAACGCCGGCTAGACTCCGAAGTCGTAGTGATGCATCGTCAAAGGCGAAGAAGACACCATTAAAACAACCTGTTGTTCCAACATTATCATTACCAACATCAACAGTTGTCACGCCGGCTAAGTCTATGGATAATTATTTAAGCTCCATTCCAAGTTCTGATTACCCGCAAGATATTAAAAAGTAAGTACTGTGATCAATTACCACTTCAATATTCATATACAATTCAGTGTGTTATTATTGTTTATATTTTTCTTGTTTTTATTATAATCAATATTATTATAATCTTTATTATTGTGAATATTTTCATTATTATTGTTATTTAATTGTATTCCCATTTTTAGTTCATCATGATGATTGGAATTAAACTTAGAATTACCTATTTCTATATTAATACTATTCCTGTATTATTGTTAATGGTGTATTTATTTTTTTTTTTTCACTAACACGTCATTGTATTTTATACCATCAAACATATTTCTAATACAGCTTGCTCCATGAATAATAATAATAATAAAAAATGTGATATTCATAATGAAAAAGTCATACAGTCTAGAAATTCCGAACTTACCAACGATTGGAATCTGACTCTAAAGTGAAATTTATCTTCAGACTTGCTGTTCAGTTCTAAATTTAAACTATCAGGGGAAATAGAAACATGCTGTGTGGGTATGATTTATTATAGTTTGATTATTTTCATGTGTTTTTTTATTTTTGTATTTCCTCAGAGCTGTATCGATGGAGGGCAATCTAGACAAGATGGGAATATTAGAAGGTGAGAACCTAAAATCCAGCAACTCTAGCTCGGGTTCCGCAAAGAAGCTTCTGGGTAGCTTTGAAAAAGGCATCAACAGAATCATTGGCACACTAACTCCAAGAAAGTACTCTACAAGTGACGGACCTCGCAAAGTAAAGGTATTAAAATAATTGTAATTTATAGTGCTAATGTCTGTATGTATGTAATGTCTGTATGTATGTTGTCTATTTCTAACAATTATTTAAATATTTAGACTGATCCATCAGGATTATTTTATATTTATTAATTTATATTAATTTATTATTTATCTTATTTATTTGAATGGAGTGGAGTTGAATAGCTTGGTGGTTGAAATGCTTGCCTTCTAATCCCAGGGTCATGGGTTCAATTTCTTTGACAGCAGGACTTTTTCTCAGAACTAAAAACAACTCCACTCCCTAAGCCTCATGAAGAGACTTCGCTGATAAGAGCATCACATTATTTCATTTATTAGAGGGCCCCTGAATATCAGACCACCTTCTAGGATACGCTGGAAGGGACACACTCTATAAGTATGGTTTTTATAAATAAATATATGAATAAGTAAATAAAAAATAATAGTATATAACTATAGTAATGATAAAATGCTATGAATCATAAAACCTAGTAAACTAATTAGTAAGTCTGATGGTAAAATATACGAGCATTTGTCACATTGCCATCATGACTTCATCAGGCCCAAGTCATAAATGCTGCACAAGAGAAACAGCTTCTTAAAAGACTTAAAACAAACACATGTTCAAGGATACTATGTTATGAATAATAGTAATGCTTTATGCTTAGAATCATGGTGTAGTAGGACAACCCAATTAATGGAAAAGTGTTTTTGATCTTTCTTTTTATTAGGGTTTATACAGTGTATCAAATACATCAACATATCCAGCAGATTTTGTACTAGAAGAATTAAGAAACACCATTGAGCAACACCATGTACTATGCAAACAAAAGGGGTAAGTGTAATAAGTGGAATTTAGCTTGTAGGTTGAATTATCAGCCTTTCCACCCCATGCCTTTCCACATACACATTCCTCCCATAAGCCTATATTTACATAAAATATAAATATTTTATCTATGGCTATTTTAATTTGTTCATTTTGGTTAACTTCCAGTACATTCTCAAGATGATGTAATAAACGTTGACTAAATATACGTTAATAAATCATTACATACAAACTACAATTCAAACAACTCCACGATAATGATTTGATGTGACACTTGTGTAGTTTGTTTGGCCTTTTACTCAGCACTGTACCTCATTAGCATATTTTTAGCACGATGTTTATATCTATATGAATGTGTTTCTATCGTGATATCCAATATTATTTTACCAGCGTATGTTAAACTATCGTTATTTTCTATATAAATGCACCTAGTGTCTTTTTTTAACTTAAACTTGAACAATTAAATTCAATATTTGCAGTGATTGCCTGACATAACAGTAAAAGCTTAACTGTTTTGGTCTGTGTCTCCCTGAAGGTTAATTAATTATTTGATCCTAATAATGAGCAATTCAATATCTATTGATGTTGTTAATGTTTCTTAAATTTTTCCTAGCTAGTGTTTTTAAATTCTTTCATTTATTTGAGATGATTATAGATTGAGGATACTTTATCCCATAATAATTATGCATATATTTCTTTCATTGTATAGATATACACTCAGGTGTAAGAAGATGGATGATAGGGGCAAGACCCGTTTAGCCTTTGACCTTGAGGTTTGCTTGCTACCAAAAATGGACATCGTCGGAGTCGCACGCAAGAGATTACGCGGAGATACGTGGGAATATAAAAGAATCTGCCAAAGTATTTTAGATGCTGCGAAAATCTAGGCTTCATTTTTTGTATACTGTACTATTATGCAGAGAGAGACAGGAATGATCCATTTTCCATGCAGGGAGATTATTAGTAGCCTGTTGGACAGTGCTTTGCTGAATGCTTTTTAAGATGGAAAATGAAATTTTAACCAGGTTTTTATAGTGATTCCCAATCTGGGATTTGTATAATCTGTATATATTTATGGTGTACCAAGCTATTATCTATGCATTATGAATTGAGACATTCACTGCTTTTGAACATCAGCAGTATGTAACTGATTATCTTACTCCTTCCTCAATACAAGCCAGTAGGAATTGTACGAGGGCTACACGCTAACACAGTCTGCAAATCTTGAAGTTATACAAGCCAGTATGAATTCTACGAGGGCGACACACTAGTGCCAGAACTTATAAAATCATGGATTCAAAGTTTTTTTTTATCTGATAATTATGTATTTATTTGTAATTAAGAGTAAATTAATTTTTCAAATATTTTGCTGCTGCCTTTTGCATAGTAGCACCATTTTATAATTATGGTTTTATTGTCAGACTTACTTATTAAATTAATTTCTGTGAATTTCTTCCGTTATAAATAAAATGCTGATAACAGCATTTGCTTATCATTTGCATATTTATAAATTAAAATAATTTATTTTAAAATTAGGTTTTTTTAGGCTTTTATTCATGTGCTTCTATTTCTGGTTTGATAGATTCCAACTGTCATTGTGACATATTTTATGGACAATTTTCACTAAACCAATTTGTGGTGATATTTAGTATTCTAAAGGGACATTTGTTATATATTTAAATTAACACAATATTTTCTAAATTCACAAAATAAAATGCTATTCATGTTATATTGATTTATGTTGTAGCTGCAACTAATTATCAATTAAGAATTTTAAAAGGAAAGCTTTTTGAAACTGGTTTTTATCTTTTTTAAACATATTTAAGCAATTGATCATGATACAGTACATGTTTAGAGAATTATTGTCTCACTTTCTTATGGGATTCAAGTTGTGAATACAAAAATGAAGTAGTCTACTTGGAAAGCTAATAGGGTAAAAAGTGGGATGAATGTTATACTATTGGTGAAGAAGGAAATCTACATATAGGTATGGTATGAGCATGGTAATTTTGGTTATTTGCATATATGTATGATTGTACACACATAGATATACAGTACATAGATACATGTATGTAAATATAATTTACATTACCATTTCCATAATATATATTACATATACATATCTGTAGGGTATATATATATGTATATATAATATATATGAGTTTCACATATATAATGTTATTATACATAATACATAATTTTATGGATCAACAAAATACTGAAATAATAATCATTTAAGCTATTATGCTCTACAATTGTAATAAATTTCTAATGCAATCAATTTTTTGTTGGATTACTTAATGTAATGAGTTGTCATCTGAACGCTTAGTGAAAAATACTAAATTACATGAGGTTAGAGGCATAGAGCCTAGTGGTATTCAAAATAGTGTATTTGCAGCAAAAGGGTATTTGAATAATTTGTCCTGAAATGTTGAAAAGCTTATTCATAGACATTTATACACCTCTTCACAGCCTGATGTTAAATTGCCATTGACAGCACTTAGCACTATTCATTTCCATAACAGTACAGTAATATTCCCCTCTCAGTATTGAATGTGGGAAAATAGAACACTTTGCTGGTTATATTTTGTTGATGATCAACAGTGGGCCACATTTTAGTAAAGATGGTTTGAGCTAAAAAAAAAAAAAAAAAATTGCACAGTAGAACCCCTATTAAGGGGTCACCTTCAAGACCAAAAATAGTATCCCCTTAATAGGGGTGCTCCCTGAATTGGGGTGGCCGTAGAGTTAAAATATATACTTTCCTTCGTATGTCTTTAGAGAACTGTATGACTGGGATCCATACCATCAGAAAGACATCACGCAAGACATCATGTAATTTAATTGATTCTGGTCCTTAAACTTTATTGTTTCTTTTGTTGGTCATATTTTTGACTTATTGTGGAGGGGCGCCATGAGCGTTTTCTTTAAACGGATACCGGCGCTTTAAAAGTTTCCATTATTATTATTATTATTATCACCAAATTTGAATCTGTTCAAAGACATGGTGCAAGATTTGTCTGAGACTATAACAAAGAAGCAGTGCCACAAAGATGATCGACAGGCTTGGCTGGACACCATTCTCAACATGCCGCAAAAACCTTACATTGCTCCTGCTCTACAAAATCATCAATGAACTCATTGCTGTTGCAGACTTTGATAAACAGCATTGTGTTGGTTCCACCAGAGCATCAACACCCAAACACATTAAAACATTAGCTGCTAAACACAGAAATATGCAAACACTCTTTGTTTCCTAAAACAATTAGAGATTGCAACATGCTAGACCTTGCTGTAAACTATCCTTCCATTCAACGAATTCAAAAGAGCAAAAACTTCAAATTCATTTTCTTTTCTTTTTAAGTTTATTGTTTAATGTTTTATTCTTTTATTTCCCATATAAACAAAATCTGCAAACCTTAAAAAAAAAACCTTCGCAATAACATCAGTGCCCGCATGCTATACTCTAATGTGAGGGCCAGTGCAGTATTTATACAGATAACAGATACAGATTTTGTGGCCAAAAGTATCCCCTTAATAGGGTATCCCAACTCCTCTAAATCCGAGACCAATTTCTAAGTGACAAAATAACCATTCTACTGGGGAACATAATGTTTAAAAAATTGGATCCTTGTGATTTTTCCCTGGTACTGTAACTTTAATTCAGTGTAGAAGCCTATAGCAGCCTGTTTGGAATTCAATGTGGCTGCCATTTTATTTGGTTTTCCTACAAACTGCAAAGCGTTGTGCTTATTGTTATGCAATAATTATTTTTTTTACTAAATGGTGTGTTTCCACCAAATTTATTCATTTGTTTCATAAGATTTACAATTATTCTTCATAAAAAATGGGAGTTATATGTTCTGAAACCATTTTTTACTGAAACAAATGGGAAGTGTCTTAATTGGTTGGAAGTATTACTGTACAAATACATGCCATCTTGAATTACACCTGCATTGTCTATTTATGGTAAGTTTATTAATATTTTTTATTCTAATAAGCTATATGAATTACTTGATATGACATATATGACACATTTATAAAATAGATATGAGAATGTCTTTATATGATAGGCCTGAATAACTACTTTGTAAACTTAAACCTACTAGGCTAGGCAATACTAACTGACAGTAGGCTAGCAAATACAGGTAGGCCTAGGCTGCCTGCCAGGCCTAGACCCAGGCCCTGCATTTATCAATCTCAGCTTAGCAAATGTCTTAAGTTAAAAAGAGTTAAGATGACCCAAAGCAAATATCTTAAGCTGATTCATCAAACTGACTTAGCAAAATCTTAGCTTAAAAATCGTCTTAGATGGTGCATGCATACAATCGACTTTTTAATTTTAAGCAATTTTTAAGCTTAGCAATATATATAAATCTGACTTAAGCAAAAAAATGGACTAAAGACGAATTTAACACGTTGGCTGCCAGCGACGAGTATACTCGCTCACAGGGTGTTGCTGAGGGCGCCAGGAACGAGTATACTC